GCTGGGGCTCAGAGAGGGACGGGAGGGCGAAAGGCGAGGAGGAGAAGGAGGAGGAGGAGAGACGAGGAGATGATGATGATGATGATGATGATGATGATGATGATGATGATGATGATGATGATGATGATGATGATGATAATGATGATGATGATGGTGATGGTGATGGTGATGGTGATGGTGATGGTGATGGTGATGGTGATGGTGATGGTGATGTTGATGATGACGATGACGATGATGATCATGATGATGGTGATGATGGCGATTATGATGATGATGATGATGATGATGGTGCTGATGATGGTGCTGATGATGATGTTGATGATGCTGATGATGATGATGATGGTGATGGTGATGGTGATGGTGATGGTGATGATGATGATGATGATGATGATGGTGATGATGATGAGGATGGTGGTGATGATGCTGGTGATGATGGTGATGATGATGCTGATGATGTTGATGATGGTGCTGCTGATGCTGATGATGATGCTGATGATGGTGATGATGATGATGATGATGGTGTTGATGGTGATGATATCGATGGTGATGGTGATGGTGATGATGATGATGATGATGATGATGATGATGGTGGTGGTGGTGGTGGTGATGGTGATGGTGATGGTGATGGTGATGGTGATTGTGATGATGATGATGATGATGCTGATGATGATGTTGATGATGCTGATGATGTTGCTGATGGTGGTGATGATGCTGATGATGCTGATGATGCTGATGATGCTGATGATGATGGTGATGATGAGGAGGAGGAGGAACACAACGAGGAGGAGCAAAACATGGAGGAGGAGGAGGAGGAGGAAGAGGAATCGAAATCGGAATGTGAACAGTTGCGAAGCAACATCCAGACAACATCAGGTGGCCAGGCTCTTGGGCCTGAGACCCCTGTGAGACCTGTCCAAGTAGTCCCGTCTGTTACGAGAGCTACGCTCTGGAAAACAGGGCCCCGCAAGACAGCAGAGCCGGTCCTGACCGACAGCATCACACTTCTGACAAATCCACGCCTGGACAACCGTCGAAAAGGTCAAGCTATGAGAACCGTGAACCCACCCCCAGCGGAATGTGAACAGTTGCGAAGCAACATCCAGACAACATCAGGTGGCCAGGCTCTTGGGCCTGAGACCCCTGTGAGACAGGTCCAAGTAGTCCCGTCTGTTACGAGAGCTACGCTCTGGAAAACAGGGCCCCGCAAGACAGCAGAGCTGGTCCTGGCCGACAGCATCACACTTCTGACAAATCCACGCCTGGACAACCGTCGAAAAGGTCATGCTATGAGAACCGTGAACCCACCCCCAGCCAAGTGGACCCTACCCTCAGCACGGGGGCGAGAGAGAGCACTAGAGATAGCATGCGGGACCTCGCACGGGGAGGCAAGCCAGGCGGTGCGGACCGCCTTGGACGAGGAAGAATGACATGCAGTGCATCGCCGACGCTCGCTGTCGAGGGTGCGAGCGGATAAGGACACAGCAACTGCAGCGGGAGCTGGTGGTGGCGGGGGAGGGGGGAGGAGGAGGAGGAGGAAGGGAGTCCCTGGGGACATCTAGATGTCTTTCGGACGACTCTTTTGGGGCAGTCATCGCATCCAGCGTCGACCTCATTCGCATGTCCCAGACCATGGACGCAGTTCTTCTCGATCTCCGCAATATTTGCACGCTCGACCTCTAAGTTTCTACACCGCTTAGCTGCTTCACTTGCCAACGTGTCGGTAATTTGATTGCCATGAGTAGGATGGATGGAAATGTGCCGAGAGAGAATCTCTTGATATTCGACATGAGAGGGGACCTGGCGACCAACAATTTGACGGGCAGGCCTGGTCTCGAGAAGTTTCTCGATATCCCTCCAGATGGGTGCTAACGAACCTGACGGGCGCTCATAGCGTTTGTCCCGCCAACCGCTCACTACCGCCGTACTATCCGACACGTGATAGACAAGCCTCTTGGAAGAGCTGGCTGGTAATTTCCAGCGCACGTTATCATCCAAGAGGGACTGTCTGGTCACCCCCGAATGCAGGTCCATACGCCTCCTCCGCCTCCGCTTCTCCTCCTCCTCCTCCTCCTCCTCCCCGTCCTCCTCCTCCTCCTCCTCCTCCTCCTTCTCCCCCTCCTCCTCCTCCTCCTCCTCCTCCTCCTCCTCCTCCTCCTCCTCCTCCTCCTCCTCCTCCCCCTCCTCCTCCTATACCAGGCCGCGGGGCTCGAAACTTCGAGTGGCGATCGCCGAGGGGCCCGCCCTCCGCAGGCGCCGATCCCCAGAGCCAGGGCACCTCCAGAGGCGTCCCCCGAAGACCCCGGGAGGATCCAACCCCTTTGAGGGCGGAGGCGGCGGGGGGGGGTCCCTCGCGGGAACCTCGGGCTGGCAGGTCGTTCTCTCCTTCTCTTCCTCCTCCTCCTCCTCCTTCTCCTCCTCCTCCTCCTCCTCCTCCTCCTCCTCCTCCTCCTCCTTTCCCCGCTCCGTCGTCGCACGGCGTGCTTCGCAAAACGTTCAACGAAACGACCCAAACAGGAGCTTCCCAAGAGCCCACCCCCAGGAGGCCAGGCCCGAGGGGCCCTTCGGGAGCTTAAGCGAGGTTCCAGGCCTCGACCTGTGTGGGTGGAGCAACTCGGGTCCAGGAGGCTGGGATGATACCAGGGTGCCAGAGACATGAGGTCTGATCTCCGCGGGACAGCGCCTGGGGAACCAAGGAATATGTGTCCTGCTAAACTGGTTCATCGGTGCTGGCTGGGCACAGCCACGCACGATGCTTGGAGGACTGGTCATGCTGCCGACCTCGAGGACACAAGGCACAAGTGATGAGACCGAGCTCTTTGCGCCTAGACAGCGGCCAAGACCCATCCACTGCAGTGGTCAACAGGACTTCTACATTGTTTCCCCCCCTTTTCTGAACCTTCTGCGACTGCTTTCGGAGGTAACCGAGGGAGGAGTTGTTGGGGCCTTCGTAAAGGCTCTCGCCACAAAAGTGTTTGCCTGCTTCCTGCCACTGGAGGCGGGCATTGGCGGCAGCAAAGTCAGCAATGAGGCCTCGAGTCGGATGACAAGGTCAGCCTCCGAGAATTGCCAATCCAAATTCTCAATTATCACGACCATTGTCTTGGAAAGTGCTAGTCATCGGGAGCGTTCGGCGACCAGCTCACTCTCAACAAATGAACAATGATGGCTGATTTTGGCCCTCGAACATGTCTGACAAACTGCGACGACTCGAGCTGAAACTGCTCCAACACTTAAGGCCACGCCTCGCGGATCCCCGGCCTGCGACAAGGCTGCTGGATCCAGGTGCAAAGCCATTCCTTGAGGCAAGACGTTGGGATACTCATCCCTGGGTTGTACCCTGGGGTACGGGGGTCCAGGAGCGAGGATAAGCACCTACCCTTGCTGGCAATCCCAGAGACAACACCCAATCTCCTCCTCGGGGTCAAGAGCTGGGACCCGAAACACCCGTACGCAACCATATCATACGTCGAGCCCGCTTGGGATCCAGCTACTTCGACCCGTCCAGTGATTTGATGACATTTGGAGCTTCTGGCGAAATCACGCAACTTAGCAGCTTGGGTGGCCCACTTGACAACCCTCTGTCTCCCGGCCGCTCGGGCCAGCCGCTTCCCCATCCGAAGATCGACGCCGAGGCTGGAGGTCAGGAGAGCAGGCTGCACGCGTACACATACTGCCGCAAGTGGATGCGATACGGCATGTGCGACGCGATGAGACGAGCGGCGGACAAAATGTGTTTGGGCCAGCGAGAAAAAACAGAAAAGGTAAGAAAAACTAGCTAAAAAGCGTTTGGGGGCAGCGCCAACTCCTTCTCTTCAGACAGCGAGTGCGCCAGCGATGTGCTCGAACTAAGCTCTACCTGCACCTGCCTTTGTGCGAACCTACGACTTGCACCTTGACATCATCGATCCAGACCCGCCTGGTCATAGTGGGGTGAGATTTAGCTCGGGCCTGTCCCCCTACAGGAGGAATATCCAAAAATAGTTTAAAAAAATCGTATGCGGACGATGTGTTGACTAGTTTTGTCCTTTGGGGGGTATGTTGGTGGTCTTGTTAACTGTTCGTCCAGAATCGCCCCTGTAGGAGGACAGGCCCGATTTTAGGTTAGATCTCGCTCATGACATCAAGTGTCGCACATCTCGCGAACCTCGTCCCACTCCTCAGCCCCGGTAATACGTTCCGCGCTGGCTGGAAGCACTTTGAATAGGCACCAAGCTGAGAGAGAGAGAGAGAGAACACGAGGAGCGAGGCAAACTTGAAGTTCGAGGTATGAGGGCGAGGGAGGGAAGTCGAGACGCAGGGTGGCTGCTGCAAGCTTCGGCCACTGGATGTGGTCATAGAAGCTCTGGATGTCCCAAACTGCCGAGCCTACTGTCGCACCCATCTTGACTGCGATCTCGCCCTCTAAAATACCAGCGACAACTTCACGAAGCGCGCTGTTCCCAGAAATAGCTGCATCCCGGGAAGGACAGAATAGGACGGCCAGGCTTTGGATATCGGCGCCCTGGCGAAGCTTCAGGCTCGAGACACCATTGAGATGAGCCCGATGGCCCTGTCTCCTCCAGATTTGTCTGCGAAGAGGCGCCCAATAAGCAGCAACGTTTGCCACGGCCACGTGGGGGACTGCTCAATCGCTGTAAACAGCTTGATCAGCTCGAGGATGGCACAATCAGGCAACCCCTCGAAGTCCAAGGGGGTGAGACGATCGATGCCAAGGCCGGCTGTCGTCTTCATCTTCCGAAGTGCATTCCTGTCATCACTAATCTCGAGCTTGGAAAGAGGATCATGTTGAGCGGCTTCCCGAACATGCGAGAGCATGTCGTGGTCGTTTTCTTGTTCGTTGTTTTGCCCATCGGCGCGGGCCCTCGCACCCCCTCTTCCCCCCTGAAGTAGATCTTGGCTGTTTTGGGCGCCTGTTTCAAGGAGGTGGGTTCTCCCCCATAGCACGAACTGTTGCAAACAGTCGCGCTCAGCAGAGGTCCTGAGCAACACCCCCCCCTCCC